GACTGGGGGCTGGTGAGCGGCAGCAGGGGGCTGCGAGCAGCAGCAAGGCGGTGGGGAAGTGGCAGTGAGTGGCATGGGGCAGCGGACATGGCCCTGATCACAGGCTAGGCCTAGGGCAGGGGTGGGCAAACTTTTTGACTTGAGGGCCACAATGGGTTCTTAAACTGGACCGGAGGGCCAGAACAAAAGCATGGATGGAGTGTTTGTGTGAACTAATATAAATTCAAAGTAAACATCATTACATAAAAGGGTACGGTCTTTTTTTTCAATAGTTTTATTCATTTCAAACGGGCCGGCCCGCAGGCCATAGTTTGCCCACGGCTGGCCTAGGGACTCTACGCGTGCACGATGTTGTGCGCTGGGCCTCTAGTCTATAATAATAAGAGTAATATGCTAATTAGACCAGACCGCTGAATGACCTTCCGGATGTCCTTCTGGACAAAGCTGTGGCAGTAGGGGCCAAGGCAGAGGCAATTAGGGGCGACCAGGCAGGCAGGCAGAGTGGTTAGGAGCCAACAGTCCCGGACTGCAAGAGGGATGTCTGACTGCCGGTTTAGACCCGATCCCACAGGAATGGGATCGGGCCTAAACTAGCAGTTGGATATCACCCAAGTGGCCCTGGATTGCAAGAGGGTGCAGGCTGGGCTGAGGGACCCCCCCACCCCATGCACAAATTTCGTGCATCGGGCCTCTAGTAATATAGTAACAGCCATGAGGGTTTTCCTGTGAAGCACTTTATAATCATTATCTGAGGTGATATTTTTATTATCCTGATAACACAGATTAGCAAACTGATGTTCAGATGGATGAAGTTATCATTGACCCAAAGTCAAGAGTTAACAAACACCCAAGTCTATAGACAATAGAATTCTAAGTGTCCAGACAGATAAATGAGAGTATATTCATTCCATGAAACAATTTATATCCACTAAATGAGAAAAATTACAATTAAAAGATTACAATTAAAAACAGGTTATCCTATATAATAAACCCTAAAATGCAAATCAACCAAACAGCAGAACGACTGGTCACTATGATGTGTACTGACCACCAGGGGGCAGATGTTCAATGCAGGAGCTGCCCCCTGGTGGTCAGTGTGCTCTCACAGCGGAAGTGCTGCTCAGCCAGAAGCCGGGCTCATGGCTGGTGAGCGCAGCAATGCTAAGGACTCCTTGGGGGATGTCCGCCTGCCGGCTTAGGCCCACTACTACCCCCGCCCCCCTCCCTCCTGCCCCAGGAGCAGGCCTAAGCTGGCAGGTGGACATCCCCCAAGGGGTCCTGGACTACAAGAGAGTGCATAGGCTGGGCTGAGAAGCGCCTCCCCCCCCGGCATGAATGTCATGTACTGGGCCTCTAGTAATAATTTACTGTAAAAGTCCTCTTTAGCTTAGGTTACTATAATATTTAAAATGTAAAAGGCTACCAAAAAAGAATGTGCAATTAAATTTTTAAATATTATAGAAGGATAGTCAATAAAGTAGTTATGTAGTTAAACTGGGGTGGGTATAGACAGGAATAAAAGGGAAATTCCGAGTGATTTTTTAAAATTGGGTTTTCTGGTTTTTCTAGTATTGTGAACTGAATTATAGCCCCACAAAACCCATATGTTTTAGTCCTAAACCTAAATGTGACAGTATTTGGATATAGAGCCTTTAAGGAGGTGATTATGGTTAAACTGGGTCATACGGGTGGGGCCTTAATCCAATAGGACTGGTGTCCTTATCAAAGGAAGACACACCAGAGATCTCTCTTCTCAATCAAGCACCAAGGAAAGGCCATGAGATGATGTAGTGAGAAGGCAGCCATCTGCAAACCAGAAGAGGTCTCACCAGAAACCAACCCTGGTGGGACCTTGATCTTGAATTCCAGGTTCTAGAACTGTGAGAACAATATATCTGTTATTTAAGCCACCCAATTTGTGGTATTTTGATATGGCAGACCAAGCAGACTAACACACCTAGATAGAAGTGCATTATTTCTATCTTAAAAAATATTCAAAATTGTTAAAAAACAGATACTGCTTGATTTATGCCTTATATTATTAGGGACAAGCTGGCCCTGGTCTTTGAACTATAGGAAAAAGGGAAGGAATTAACATGGTCTGAGTGTCCTTTAGCCAGATCCTTTACAGAAATCCCACAAGAAGAGTACTAAATTCCACACCTGACAGATGGGAAAACTGAAGCTCAAAAAACACTAAATGCTTGACCCAAAATCACCAGCTAGGAGGCAGCAGAGCTGGGAACGGGGTCCAGATCTGATCCTGATACACCTGAGCTCTTTCTCCTCATGCCACTGTCCCCAAATGCAGATGCTGAAATGGTCACAGACACAGATGGGGTGCATGTGGGTGACATCCTTCAGCCTGGACGGATCATTCAGGAGACTGCTTCTAAGTTCTGAGCAGATAGATGGCTCTCCTGGGAGTTAGAAGGTGCCTGAAGGAATTCTTTGTGAAAAATCCTACTGGCTAATGCATCTAATTTCTACATCTATTACATCAGGGCCTGCTGACTGAGGAAGCTACAGAGACCAGAGAAATGCTATAAACATGAGGCAGACCAGGTATGAACCCACAGGATGTGGTGGAGACTGTGAAGACCAGAGCATGAGTTCTACTCTACAGGGACAGCTGCTCCTGGCTATAGCCAATAGACATTCTGGATTTTCAAGAACCTGGGAATCCAGATATTTGTTTTGAAATTGCTCATTTTAAAATGTGTTGTTAAATTTTTAAGAATCAGGCATAACAAAATATATTCGTGGGTTACATCTAAGCCTTTACATTGTCCGTTTGTAGTTTCTGCTTTAGATAATTGTTGTCACAATCCTGGAGGCAGTATGCTAGTTCACACAGCCCTGTAACTCATAAACTGCTCAATCACAGCAGCTTTACACAGAAGCTCATTTTTCAATCACATAAAGTCCAATTAGCAGCATGGGGGGGCGGGCAGAGGAGCAGGGAGTTCTGTCAATCTTCCCATGTGGCATCCAAGATCACCAAGGCACTGATATCCAATGGTCATTGAAATCCAAAGGGCAGATAACGAAGAGAGCAGAGGACCATGGAAGCACTCCTCCTTCTGCCCACCTTCCCTCAGTCAGAATTCAGTCCTGTGGCTGCCCCCCTAAAGGCTAATCGGAGCTGGGAAACATAGTGCCTGGCCTGTGCAGCCCCTTTCCAACAACTCTATCCTATGGACTGGGGACACAGATATCTGGGGGATGGTTACCCATCTCTTCCTCATGTAGTTATTATCATCTCAATTTTGCAGATGAAGAAACAAATCTCAGAGAGGCTAAGTGAGCTATGAGAAGTTATGCAGTCAGGAGCGCTGTCTGAGACCAATCCAGGGACATTCTCTCTATCTCAGTGTTTCCCAAACTTGCCATCTCATAAGAATCAGCTACATCACTTGTTGCACACACAGATTCCTGAACCTTGCCCCAGACCTTGAATCTGAGTCAAGGAAGACTATGGTAACCTGTATTTCCATCAAGAATCCCAGATGATTCTTACAGCAGGCTCTACACCAGGGGCTACAGCTTAGACTCATCTGGGGAGCTTTGTGAATGCTAATCTCTTGGTCCCAACCCTAGAAATGCTGACACTGACATTTTGTAAAACTTCCAGATGACAGGTGACTGTGATGTGCAGCCCGGACTCAGAACCACTGCCTCTGCTCCCACACCACACTGCATGGTTGTCAGAGCCACCTGAAAGAGCTTTTCAAACTAAAGCAACTAGAGAGAAAGAGCGAGACAGAGAGGAAGAGGGGGAGAGAGGGGGATCAAGGGGAGTGAGAGAAATAGATATATAGAGAGATACATGAGTGGGAATTAGCAGTAAAAAAGAAAAAAACCTCTTCAAAAGATTTTAATGTGCAGTCTGGGTGGAGACCTACTGAAGAAATGGATCAGAAGATTCTTAATCAGAATCTTTGGATAAATCTAACTTTCTGTATTTTTAAAGCATCCCAAGGAATTGTGATACCAATCCCTAAGGCTCTGCTACTCCAAGTGTGGTCTAAAGTATCAGCACACTGCCCTGGCCAGTTTTTCTCAATGGTTAGAGTGTTTGCCCTTGGACTGAAGGTCAATGGTTCAATTCCTGGTCAAGGGCACAAATCTCAGTTGCAGGTTCGTGCCCCAGGGGTGCATGCAGAAGGCAACCAATCGATGTGTGTCATATCAATGTTTTTCTCCCTCCTCCTCCTCCCTCCCTCCAGTCCACTCTGAAAATCAATGGAAAGAACATCCTCAAGCAAAGCAAAGCAAAGCAAAGCAAAGCAAAGCAAAGCAAAGCAAAGAATGAATCAGCACATCATTAGGAACTAGTAAGAAATGCAGAGTCTCAGTCCCTATCCTAGACCTGCTGAATCAGAATCCACAGTCCAACAAGACACCTGAAGATCAGCACACAGCTTACTATGAGGTGTTGATCTAAGGCACACAGGCTCTTTCTGGGAGGACAGCAGACCAGGTCTTCCAATCAGGGCTGGCTCATCTGTTCTCCCTCCCCACCCACCTCCTGAAGCTGTAGAACCCTTTCAATTGTTACCAGCATAGTCTGTCCTCAAAGGTTGGGGCCTCACTGTCCCCATGCTGTGGCCATCTGTTCACGGATATTTTGTTGGAAGGTCTGGGCACGTGCCCTGTGTGATGAATCAACAGGGAGCTTGCAGGCCCTTCCTGCCAGGGAAGGACAGCACAGACGACTGGGTGCTTCACCTGAAGATGTAAAGATCTGTAGGTTGAACAGGCAGACAGACTTGCTTTATGAATTTCTGGGGCCAATCAGAGGAAGTTAGGGGGAGGGAGGTTACAGTTTACTGTGCCAGTCAGTCATGAAGGCAGTTTGGTTAGACACAAACTATTGTTCATGCACAATTTCTGTGTTGGTCTCTACTAGTTTAAAAGCTCAGTGAGGTCAGAGGCTGAACTACCTGTGGAGTTCATATTATACGGTCTAGCATACTATAGCACTTGCCCAGTAAGTATGTTTACTTAAACAGCTGAAATGCCCATTAAGCCCTTGTCTCTCACTGGTAATTTTGGTGCACTGTAGGATAATTAGGCATCTTTTTGTGCTCTTTAAAGTATTTCTGTCAGGTGTTCAAACTACCCATTTTTTCTTCTTGTTTTCTCAAGTTCTAATTCCTTTTCATCCAGCTTATATTTGCACATTTTTTTTGTAATGGCAAAACAACTAAAGTATCTCAAATGGCCAATGAAAAGGGGTTTGTTAAGTAATCCAGGAGCTCTCTCCCACCAAAGTCCACCCATCCACCAATTAAGAACTGCTTATCTGAACAGGTCCCACTAAGACATCAACAGTATGGTTGCTGAGTGGGTGGAATTATGGGTATTCTCCATGAATTACTTTTTGTTTGGCTGTATCATCTGACTTTTTCCTCCTGTTCTGAGCATCTATTACTTTTGAGTAGGAAAAACTAACCAATAGGAAGTGGATTGTTTCTAAACGCTATTTTAAATCTCTAAACCATTGTAGCCAGCTTTATATAATTGGGAATATTTTTGAGAAACATGCAAGTTGAAAAACAGAGGGAATGTTTCCAATGACCAGTTAGCAAGGAAGTTGAGGCCCAAAGTAGTAAAGTGATTTATCTGTCTGAGGGTACAGCCAGGCAGGAGAACTCAGGCCCTGACGTGCAGACTGGTATTCTTTCCTTCTATCACTCCCTTCCCTTCCCACTGTGAACCCCTTACTGCTTTCTCTTTCACTAAGTCAGAAGTGCAGGGGTTATCTCAGCCATTCATGGCCTCACAGATTGTACACTCCATTCCATTGTCATGATTTGTGTGCATTCTAGAGAGTGGAGATCCACTAGACCAGGCAGGCAGCCTCCACATATGCCTTTGCTTACTGGAAAACCATAGCACAAAACTGCTGGCAGAAGTCCTGTTCCTGGGACCAGGGCAGGAGCTGTACGCCCACTTGCAAATCCGCTATTGGGTGATCTGCAAAGGCTGCAGGTAACCCCAGGCCATTTTGGCCACATGGGACATTTTCTTGGGAGTATCCAGTTATTACTGACAGGTCCTCCACGGACACTTCCTCCAGGCTGGCTCCGGCTTGCTCTGAGCTAAATGAAAGGAGGGGGCACTTCTCCAGGAGTTTTTGCCATGTTGGGCAGGGCTCAGGACTGGACTCCACCTTTTTTCCATTTGACAGGACATATTGGAGGGTGTTCGAACATATTCATGCTGCACCTGAGCCTATGCCAGCAGCTCTGGGCTCCACAGAAGCCCCCGGGGCTTGGCTCAGCTGCGCCAGCCTGGGAAATTCACAGGGTAAATAGACCACAGGTTTCACAGAGAGAAATGAGAATGAGGATTTCTTTCTGGTGTTTGGGAGATGAGTCCATGGTGGGTATTGTAGGCCAGTGCAAGAACATTTTTTTTTGGAGCAGTGGTCTGTGGTCAGGAGTATCTCTGGGCTGTGATGATGATTCTTGGAGGTGGCTCCTGGGTCTTGGTGTCCTCTGGGAGAACGTGCTTTGTAAGGGCAACAGAGCAATTCTGAAGGCCAGAGGATGGAGACTTAAACCTGAAGTATTGATGACTTCTTAAGGTCTATATTGAGGATTTATTTTCTATACCTTATGAGGGAAAAACCAGCAGGCATGTACATAATTAAATCTTAAGAACAAACTGCATAGTGATAATCAAAGACATAGATTTGTAAAAAATCTTTAATGGGTTTTCAAAAACAAAACAAAAATAATACATGTTCATTATAACAAATGTAAATAATATATAAAGTAAGAAGTAAAAGTAAGTCTATTCTCCAGAAGAGGTACAAAGTAAAATAAGGTATCATTTTTCAAATGACCAGATTGGCAAGTTTAAAAAGAATGGCAATATCCAGCACTGGCAAGGTGTGGGCCAGGGTTTGCCAACTCCAGCATTACAAACACAATTTTTTGTTTTGAGGGGACTTTCTTAGTTTAAGATGTTTAGTGACAAGTAAATATATCCCCAGACACTGTCAAATGTCTACCCCAAACACCACTGGTGTGAGTGAAATCTGGCATTTGATATCATTAAATATTAAAATTTGTGTCACCAGCAACTTTACTTCAAAATACATTTATAGTAGAAACTTGTTTGACAAGCATTTTCATGCGTCATTGATAACGTTTAAAAAAATTAGTAATGATCCAAATGACATCTGTTCCTAGACTATATACATGCTCAGATATAGAAAAAATTAAATAGCTCTGATGTAGAGAGCTCTTCAAGATAAAACTGTTAAGGGTGGAGGGGAAGGGGAGGAAAGGTGCTGAACAATGTAGAGGGCATTTTTGTGAAATCTAAAGAATAAAGTTGTATGAGCAAGTGCATGTGTATTGAAAAATATATATATAGATACTTACACACATATATATTTTAAAATACTCACCTGAGGATGTTCTTATTGATTTTTTTTATTTTGAGAGAGAGAAACATCAATCAGTTGCCTCCTGCATGTGCCCTGACTGGGGATCAAACCTTCAACCTAGGTATGTGACCTGACTGGGAATCGAACCCACAATCTTTTTAGTGTATGGGACGACCCTCCAACCGAGCCATCCAGCCAGGGCGGGGGGTGTGTGTGTGTGCGCGCGCGCGCACGCGTGTGTGATATTTTTTTAAAGCCTGGCAGGAGGTGTACTAATCCACAAACACTGGTGATCTATCTGTGCAGCAGGATGGAAGGCTACAGGCAGGTAGCAAATGGAATTTTCCATTTCTACCTTAAATATTTCAGCATCACTTGTATCATTTTACAACAAGGACACTGTAAAATAATATAGATAAAAATGCAAAGTAGAAAAGAAAAAAAAGAGAAAAGGAAAGAAGCCCTCATTAGTCCTGCCTTCCCTCTCTTGGGATAAGTAAACTTGGCTTCAGGGGTTCCTCATGCTGCACACTTTAAAGTTCTCAAGGCAGCTTTATATGCACCACCTCATCAGATCCTCAAAGCAATTCTCCTAAGTTGGCAGAGAGGGGTAGTTATTTCCATCTTGCAAATGAGCAAACTGAGACTCAGAGAGTGCAGTGACTTGTCCAAGGGCCAACCAGCAGAGTGGGTGGCCCAGGAAAAAGCAAGTGGGAGCCCAGTCACACAGTAATAGGAGCACCCCAAAGTAACAGGAGCAGGTCCAGACACACAGGCTCTTACAACCAGGGGCCTAACATGCTTGCCCTGCTGAATCACTCCTACCTGTGGTTCCAACTCCTTTAACTTCTCTTCGGTTCTTATTCCTTCAACCAAAGCTGGTATTCATCTCCCAAAATAATTCTCATCCTTCTGGCTGAAGGCATCATGCTTTGGGAAGAGCAGGGATTTGAGATCTGACTCTGTCACTCCTCAGTTCAGGAAGTGGCTTCACCTCTCTTGGTTTCAGCTGTAAAATGGAGATAAACACAATAAACTCTGAGTTGTTTTAAGGGTCAAAGCAATCATGTGTGTGAATGCATTTTATAAATTATAAAAGACTTATAAACATTAGTTAATTTTTCCCGGCCAGGGTGGCTCAGTGGTTCTTAACCTGGAGTTTAGGTCAAGAACTAAAGGGGTAAAAAGAACAGCTCACCCTAATCTAATAAACATATCTGTGGCATACACACAAATACTTGTTTAAAGCTTTTCACTTTTAATTGACATTTAACATACACACAGAAAAAAGTGCATATTCGATGTGTACAGCTTGTGAACTGAACACACTATGAGCAACATCAGATCAAGAAAGAGAATGTTACCAGCACCCCTGAAGCCCTGCTCAATACTCCCTTCCAGTCCTTACCATTTACCCATTTTCTTCTGTAGCTTTACTGCTAGATTTTTGGCCCTAACACCTTCCTGATGTCATCATACAGATTAAAGTTCAAATGAATGGACATTTGAGAGAAGGCAAGACCCTGGGTCTTTACGTTTTGAAAACTCACTGTCAAGGGCCTTATCACAATGAAGGAAAGAGAATCTGTAATCCTGGGCTCCCTCTGCAAGTGATCAGTAACTATCAAGGAAAGCCTCCCATCCTCCTGGAGCGCTGAGACTAGGACTGAAGTTGCTGCAGACTTAATCCAAACCAGTGCAGAGGGATGTGGCCGAGTCATCTGTCAAGCATTCCAAAGTCCTCATTCATTCCCCACTCTGACCCAACATTTCAGAAAGGCAAGTATCAAATAGCAGACAGCTCTGGGGTTATGTAGAGAATGCCAGTTAAGTGCAGTTAATCTCTTCCCCAACTTTCACCAATTTGTCCCCTCCACCCCGCCAAAAAAATAGAATGTTCTAGTAAAAGGCCCTGCTGCTAACATCACTGTCAAAGGAGTCGAGATCCCAGTTATGGTTCTAAAAAGCCAATAGGCAACTGTAAGTATTTGCTGAGCTGACTGACTTACTGATGGACTCACTCACTCATTCAATACATACGGTGGCAGACTCTGTGCCAGGTACCAGGGACACAAGATGCAGCCCCTGAGATGATGGAGGAAGTGTGAAGTACTATGGATGCACACAGTGTGGGGGCATTTAACCTACACCGAGAGAATAGGAGCTCAGGGAGGGAAAGTTGAGAAAAATGTAACAGATAATTCTTGCCCTCCAGAAGCTTAGAATCCAACTGGAGACACAAGAAATGTATGGGCACCTGGGCACATGTATGGCTCAGTGGTTTGAGCATCTATCCATGCACCAAGAGGTCACCAGTTCGATTCCAGGTCAGGGCACATGCCCGGGTTGTGGGTTCATTCCTGGTAGGAGCCATGCAGGACTGCCTTGGTTCCAATTCTAGCTCCACCACTTACTAGCTATGTAATCTCAGGCAAGTTACTTTACTTCAGTTTCCTCATTTGGAAGATAATTGTACTAGTAATCTCATAGGATTGTTGTGAAGATTAGAATGACATCTCTGACACACAGTATGAGCTATAAAAGTACTATCTTTTACTATTATTTTCCATTTTAATGCTGTTCTGCCCAGCCAGTGTTGCTCAATGGTTGAGCATCAACCTATGAACCAGGAGGTCATGGTTTGATTCCGGGTTAGGGCACATGCCTGGGTTTCTGGTTAGATCCCCAGTAGGGGGCAAGCAAGAAGCAGCTGATTAATGATTCTTCCTCCTCATTGATTTCTCTCTCAACATTGATGTTTCTATCCTTCTCTCTCCCTCTCTCTCTCCCTTCCTCTCTCTGAAATCAATGAAAAATTATATATAAATATAAAAATTGTATATAAAATTATATATGTTGTTTTTCACCTGCTCCGTCAGCTAGGTTCAGTAGTTACATGAGAAATAGGCAACAATACTCATTCAGTTGCTCAAACTAGAAAGCAAATTGTCAGCCCACTTTCTCCCACTGCTCCTTCTGCACACAATCTCTCATCAAAGCCTGATCTATACAAGTTTCAATTGGTTCACTTGTTCTCCATTCCCACCTCCACCTGCTCGAGAGCACTGCCATCTCAGGCCTGGATACTGTGCCATCCAGGTGGAAACCAGAGTAATCTTTCTAAAATAACATGGTCCTTCCTCTTCTCATCCACAGCTTCCATGGTTCCTAGAATAAATCCCTTGGCGTGGCCTTTAAGACCCTTCCTAACCTGATTCCTACTTTCATTTGCACTTCAGATTCCTTGTGTCCAAAACTGAACTCTGCCCAAACCGGCTGGCTTCCTGGATTTCCCGCGTTAGTGAATGGTGCCACCTACTGACCTCGCAAGGGATCCTGCCTTCCAAATACTCCAAGTAATAAACCACATTCTCAAAAAACATCTAACTTCATGGAGATATGCTTACATGAAGCACTTTAAAACATTTGGGGCTTTAGTATTTGATGCCATAAGGGGTAGAAGTTAAGGTAAACTGAAGAATTCACCAAAATTACATGTAGCACTTACTAACCTCCAGGAATTCATTGATCTAGACCAGCGGTTCTCAACCTGTGGGTCGCGACCCCTTTGGGGGTCGAACAACCCTTTCACAGGGGTTGTCTAAGACCATCGGAAAACACATATATAATTACATATTGTTTTTGTGATTAATCACTATGCTTTAATTATGTTCAATTTGTAACAATGAAATTGGGGGTCACCACAACATGAGTAACTATATTAAAGGGTCGCGGCATTAGGAAGGTTGAGAACCACTGATCTAAACACAGTTTTTGTCCTCAAGGATGTGTTTTATCTGAAGAAATATTTTGAAATGATAGTTTAAAACATATTTCATCTTGATGCAGGTCACTTGGCAACTCCTGAGGGGGGAAAATGTCTATTTTCCTTTTCTACTCTTTTCTAAGAGATGTTGAGAGACAGGCATTCAAGAGATGAAATCCTAGTCACTTACTAGCACTGTGTGACACAGGCCAAGGGGAGCAAGAACAAGTTCTCTAACCTCTGGGCGTCCCAGTCATCCTCCGCTGTAACAGGTGTAAAACCGCAGGTGTAGAACGTGTACATAGCTGCTGCACCGCAGAGGGCCGCCATTATTATTACCGTCATTAGGGTTTATGCTGGAACTTTACCATGAACAGGTAGCTATTCTTTCGTGCCCTATCCGTGGGGCCTCTGGTGTGAACAGGAGACTTCTAAACGTTTCACCGAGGTCGCATGACATGCTTTGTGTGTGACCACCTTATACAATATCCCGTAGACTCCACTCCCTGACGTGGGCTGGGTGCTCCGAGGTCTGTCCAGTTAGGTGACAGCATCTAAGTACTGGGGAATGGAGGTGGGAGGGTCCAGTTGGGGTTCAGGCAACAACTCCCACCCTAGGCTGAGCCGAAACCACCTCTACCCAAGTCTGTTGAGGAAAGCCATTCTTTCCCACCAAGCTCAGAGAAGCGGAGACGTGGAGCTGGTGAGTGAGGGGAGGAGGCACAACCAGATCAGCAGACTTAGTCCGGGATGGAGGGGCCGCCAGCTGTTGCCCAGCTCACCCCTTCCCTGCCTGCCATCGGGGCAACCATCAGAATCATAAAAGTGGAAAAATCCCTAAAAAATCACCTACTTGGGTGGACTGTCTAAAACGCTGCTAAACATGTGGTGCATTTCTCTTTGAAAGGGTCTATTATTTCTCACCAGGTTCTTAAAGGAGTCCATGCCTGAGAAAAACGACACTGGCTGTTAAGATTCTTCACTTAACAGATGGAGAAACTGAGGCGGAGAGAGGTGAAAGCAGTCGCTCCAGTCAAACAACAGGGGCGCTAAAGCGAAGGTTTTTCAGTGGCAATTCCAGCCTCCATTCCTGGCCTTGGCCCCGGTCTGGTACCACCTTGCTTCTCCGCAAGCCCAGGAGGTGTGGTGTCCCTGAGTCCTGGAGATGTTGCAGGCGGTCCAGATTCTAACACCCAGGGGACGGGCTAGGCGCTCCGAGGGGCTCCGGAGCCGTGAAGACGCCCACCCTGGCCTCACCCCAAGGAATTCCGTTGCCTTGGTGGCTCAGCTAGAGCTCCAAGCACAGTGAGCCTCGCGAAGCGAAGGCTGCTTCGCGACTGTGAAGAGCAGCGCTTACTCACGCGCACAAGGGAGGAGGAAGTAGACGCGCCCCGCGAGCCGGCCCAGAGCGAACCCACTGCGCACGGAGGAGGGAGCAAAGAGAATAACAGGAAATGACGCAAGCGCACGTGCTTCCGAGAGGGCGGGTGCGAGGCGTCTGAGAGGCGCGGCCGCCGCTCCGCACCTGCGCAGTCGCCGCCTGCCGCGCTGCCGAGTCACGGAGGCGGGAGGAGCATAACTAGAGGGCGGGGCGCGTGCCCGAGTGACGCAGGCGCAGTGCGACTCGGAGGCGCGGGCCGCCCCCTCCGCGGGTTTGGATCCGGGTCGGTCAGGCTCCGTGATCCGGGACAGACTAGCTGAACCGACGGGACTGGGTAACCAGAGTGCGAGAAGGTGAGAGTCCTGACAGGGAGGGGTCGCGGCACCGCCCCTCGGCCCCCTGGCCCAACCTGGCCGCGAGCGATTTCCTCGGGTCCGTCCGCCTCCTGTCGCGTCGCGCCCGGGCGGGCACTGACGGCGGGGCCGGGCCGGGCTTGGGCGTCTTCGCCACCTCCTCGGCTCCTGCGGCCTGGCCCTGCCCAGCTCCGCTGTATCGCCCCTTCCCGCCTTCCTGTTCTCTCGTTGCTCCTGCCCGGTCTTGCTCCTCCGCCTTCTCCCGCTGGGCCGTAGCTTCCCCTTTTCACCCTCGTCGGCCGCCCTTTGCCCCTTCCCGCCCTTTCCCGCTCGTTTCTGAGCCCCAGTCTCGTTGGCTGCCTCTTTGCCTCCTCCTGCATCCCTGGCGCCTTCGCCCAACTGAAATCTCTCATTCTGGACGGGGGAGTGTCCTGGAGGGGCCGCCTCCCAGCAGGAGACCCCAGGCAGCCAGACCTGGGGGCTCCTGGACAACTCCCCGCTCTCCGAGCCCCGCTGGGCTCTGACCTTTTCTCCCGATCCTTCCCAACTGCGACCCCTCCAGATTCCGGGTGAAAAGAACAACATTGTGCTCTGGCTCTAGCAAAAGAGCGTGTGTCGGGGTTGAAGTGGGTGTGGAGAGAGAGGTGTGACTGTGTTTCATCTCGGGAGGCCGACGGTTTCAACCTCGTCTTGTTGGCGACTTAGAGACTCGCTGGACGGGGCTTTCTTTCCCCGACTCCGCGCTTGCTTCCGGGGGGCCGGGGCAGTTCCTAAATCTTGAACATTGTGATGACGCGCTGACGCGCGGATCGTTTATTCTCCCCCAGGTCTCTCCTAGGCTCGAGGTTGAAAGAGGTCTTGGTGAAAACGGCAAGATAGAAATAAGATTGTGACACATGCTATTGGTTGAAAGTCAGAGAAAACCAGAAATTTTGATGGAGGAACTTAGAAGGATTTTGCTTGTCATTTTTGAAAGGTTGGGGGAAACCGGAGGCATAAATTGCCCTGTGTGATTTGACTTAAAGCAATACAAAGTAACTTCGAATAGGCCTTTAACAGTTTGATCTTTTGGGAGATTGTTCAAGAAATCAGCGCTGTGAAAACGGCAAGGAAGCCTCCCACAAGTTTAATGTGAATTGTGTTCCCCGGAGTTTGTCCTAGAGCTCTTGATGTGAGTGAATAGGAAGGTAGGAATACCGAGGAGCATAATAAGCCTTCTGTGAATTACACACAGGCTCTGATTTAGCGCTTAAGATCGTGCCTAACACTTATCTTTGCTCAGGGTTAATATAACCGAGAGAAAAGGTGAGTAATCAAAAATGCTGAAGTCTGAAAATAATTGAGATGGAACTTCATTCCTAAACGTTTCGTCTGCAGCCAGTTTTTATTTTGGTCTGTTTTGGCTTTTAACTTTGAGTGTGTCAACAAGAATGTTAACTAAGTTTGTGTTAACGTCCAGATTTTAGAGGTCACCTGCAGTGTTCTTACATCAGCGCTGTATAATTAAAAGTTACATATTTGGGTATAGAGCTTCTAAACACAGTCTTCGGGCAGGAACACAGGCAGGGGCTTCCGGGCCCTGGTCTGTGTCAAGTGCCCCCGTGTACCCCTAGTCAAGCCTAGTGCTTGCGCCCATGGTAAGAATTCTGTATTTGTGGGGGGAGAGAACTTCCGCCTACAGAATTCAGCAGTGTACATCTAGAAGTGATGTACTGATTTCCAGAGAGGCGGGAGACGGTTAGTGTGGGTTCTGCAGGGCTGGGGAGACTCGGCTCAGATGACTTAACTCTATAAAGGCCACTCCTCCGAGTGAGCATTTGACTGACTGGTTATAAAGTAATTGAGGAAAACTGTAAGTCAAGCTTTACTGTAGTTCTGCCTGCAGGATGAATTTGTTTACAACCTACGATAGCACTCTTTCAGATGCGGTGGGCTTTAAAATTATTAGAATGTGATCTTTGCTCACCCTTCTTCCTAGGTATATAGGACATTAGTGTGGGAGGTGGGGCGGGGAGGATCCTCTACATCTAGAAGATTAGAAACCAGTGAAGTATAGAATTGATAATGTTCATACACTGGTTAAATAAACCAGCAAAATATATGTGGGAATGTATTTAAATTTTTTGTCTTGAGAAGTTGAGGTGAAAGCTAGCTGAGTTCTTTTGAGACTGTTTTCAGTGTTCAATGTTTCATTCCCTGGAGAGAGCTGACTAAAATATCTTCCTCTACCTAAATAAAAAAGGAAAGGAGTCATCTTGATTCCTTGCTTCATTGGTACTACATGGTCACATTATATCTAACATATTACAACACACTCTGACCTTTGGAATATTGGAGGTCTCACAATGCATCAAGCCCACCCTGAGAAATGAGCAGAGAGGGACTCAGAGGATCCAGGGCTCTACAGGGAGGCACTGCTCTCTGGGAGCCCCCAGGGGGGTGGGGGGAGGGTAAGGGGTAGCAAGCAGGTTAGGAATAAAGAAAGAAGAGGTAGAGTGACTCCTTCGCTTCAGAAATTCCCCATCTTCTGTTTTTTGTTTGTTTTAATGTTTTTCAGATTCTCTGTGACATTATAGATACTAGTTGAAAAAATAACTAGTATCTTTTACCAAGTGAAAAAATAGTTGGGCAACTAGATTCAAAGAATTTATTAACATACTTCAGTGGTGTTTCTTGTTGCTTTGGTTGGTTCCCCTTTCCCTTTTCTTTGTTTAAATGTTATAATCAGGGTGGAAAGAAAAAACTTGATTATTTGTTTTGTATTTTTTGGCTTTAAAAAATTGAACATCACTTAAATGTTCATCTATAGAACAGTAATTTCTCTTTTTTCTTCCTACCTCTTTTTTGAGGGGCTAAGTTCTTTATATTTTTTTGAATTGTAAGTATAATTCATTTTTTATCTTTTGTAATAAAATATTCAATGCTATTTAAAAAAATGAAGGTATCAACCTTATAGGTTAACTGTGGAATAATCAGTAAACATGTTTGTAATTCTGCTTTGATATTCATATCCAGTTTGATATCTGGATATGAATAATGATATTCAGGTCAGGATTGCTTTAGAGAAGTGCTGCCATGTATCATGAAGTTATACTTAACTAGAATTTTTAGGGTTAGACTAGGTAAATAGTAGCATTTTAAAGAATCAGAATGCTATTCGTTTGGCTTTTCCCTTTTATTTCTGATGCAAAGGTTATTTTGTCTATAGGTTTCTAGACTTCTACAAATGGAGAGATTTTCCTCCTTTTAAAAAAGTATATTTAAACAGATTTTAGGTGATATTGTTTCCAAAAACTGTGTAATAGGATATTGGCATCAAGTATTTGGGCATTTTAAATTCTATCTTAATAAATTCAAGAAATCATCTACACTGAAACTTCTTTTTAGAAATGGAAATTTGTTCCCCTCTCCTCTAACAAACAATAATAGTATCAGGAATAAGGATTTTAACAAAATATATACTTCTGGACCCACCTGTTGTCACTGTGCTCATTTTATTTTGATTTTCTTTTTTAGTATAAGCGGGAACATCATAGTAGTGTAAAAAGTTTCACAATGAAATCCGAAGCCAAGGATGGAGAGGAGGAGAGTCTACAAACTGCTTTCAAGAAATTAAGAGTGGATGCATCAGGGTAATTATATATATATATAATATGTTATTTGGGAATTATTCACTAGACTTACATAGCCTTTTTTCTGAAGAGCTTTTTCTCTACTAAAATTTCTCATTATTTGTAGAAGATATAAATGTTAATAATGTGACATTCTACCAAATCTGCACAGCATTGTATTTCTTGTAAAAGAAACTCTTCTGTTAAATTTTGAAAAGTTGTAGTTCATTTGTACTCCAAGGTTCCGTGGTTTGATTTTCCTTAACTTTGAGGAGTGCTTTCCCCCTCTTTTTTAATCAAACATTATCAAGCGATGTCCCGTTAAGGATTTTCTCGTATATCTCTAGGGAATCACAGTATTTTTCACTAAAAGTGAATTACCTCAATAGAAATCTCTGCAGACATTGTCGATTTCATGGGCTCTATTGCTGAGACAATCACTATGGAAACCTATTCATTAGGGTTCTCTCGCAGAGATCAATAATCTTGGACCCTTTGGCCAAAATAATTAGAGCACCTACAGACCAGCTGCTGTCTGAATGTTAAAATTTCACCCTTTGCAAAATGTTGTGTGCAGTATTCTTCTCATCCCCATTCTTTGCCCCAGGCCAGAAGAAACATCAGATTTTTAATGGATATAAGAATATTTATTTTCATGAATGGAAACCAAATACTGGAAACTCAGAGTACAAAACTCCACAACAAGTAATAATAATAATCACTAAAAATTATATCACTATGTCCTGGACACTAGCCTGAGTACTTTACATACATTATTTAGTCCTCACTACCAACTTAGAAGATAGTTATTACTGTTATTCCAGTTTACAGACAAGCCACAGATGATTTAAGCTACTTCTTAAAGGTCACATTGGTAAGAGACCTAGACAGTTTGTCTCCAGAACCTGTGCTCGTAACCATTCCTTTATATGGTACCTTGAAGACAACATGGAAGAAATGCATGCAGCACCTGGCAGATAGTAAAAATTAAATAGATGTTGTTATAGCTGTCTGCTTATTGCTAACACTATTTTGGCCTACCAAATGAGATTTATACTAATAGACTGATTTATGCTAAATATACTAATTGTGTAATAGCTGTTACAGATGCTCACATTTGCTTCCATGATACTTCAAATAAGTATCTCTCTCTTCCCAGTGGTTTTTTCAATATTGTGGTCATTTTGCCATGAAAGTTGATTGGCACTTTATAAGCCATTTTGGGAATGGAAACAAAGCAGACAAACAGTTCCAGATTGTGGTCATAGTGTATGCTTTCATGATTTTGGGTACAGTAAAAAAAAAAAAAAATGTTTAAAGCAGGAAAATACTAGGAATGCTGCATATATATATGTATACATACAAAATTTCTTAGTATTTACATTTATATAAATAACTCTTGATATACAGATTCTTTTCCTGGTATTTTAAGAAGTTGGGTCCTAGCTGATTTGGCTCAGGTGATAGAGTGCTGGCCTGCAGACTGAAGGATCCCGGGTTCGAGTGTGGTCAAGGGCACATGCCCAGATTGTGGGCTCCATCCCCAGTAGGGGATGTGCAGAAGGCAGCAGATCAATGATTCTCTCATCATTGATGTTTCTATCTATCTCTCCCTCTCCCTTCCTCTCTGAAATCAATAAAAATACATTAAAAAAAAAGTTGGAGCATAAAATTAAGCTGTTTCACTACTCTTAAAAATTACTTGGAACGTTAAAAAAACCTTTCAAAATATCTGTATAATATATGACCAAATATTATATATTTGTAGCATGTGATCTGCTTTGAGTACAATTATAGAAAGAGAAGTAGCAGTGAAGAGCATTCGAGAAAACTGAACAAATAAGAGTAGAAGGGGTGAGTCATTACCATGAGTAAGCAGAATAAGACTTGTATAATGTATCATACATCTCTAGTTGTTTCATATTGTTGCTGACTTACAAATGGGACATCTGAGGTACTGACTCATAAACTAACCAAGCCTTGCCTGGAATTTAGCACGATCCTGTTAAGCAGGTTTTGATTTCTAGTGGTATTTGTCTTATCAAGACAAATCTCTATATATTTATTATAAAACAACATAATCCTTTTTATCTGACTATAAAATAATACATGCATATTATAGACAAGTTCGCAAAAATAAAAAAGGAAGTAAACACATAGTCACTGTTAATATATAGACTATATATAACACCATATACTTTTTGTACACAGTTGAGATCATAATGTATGTATAGGTGCTTATCCCTGCTGTTTCCTCTTAATATTATGAGCATTCTCTCATGTTATTAAAAGGTCTTTATACACTTAATTTTTAATACATTTCTAATATTCCATCGCATAGATCTGCCGTAATACATATAATGCAGTATTTTCTGTTATTGGATATTTAAGTTATTCCCAGTACTTTTTATTTTTAATTATATTTCAGTGGACATCTTTTTATTTTACTTTAGTAGGTTTTATATTTCTAAAGGGTTTTTATCAGTACCACAACATGTGAGGTAGGAGCCGTGTGTGTGTGTGTGTGTGTGTGTGTGTGTGTGTGTGTGTGTGTTTTGAAAGGTCTGAAAGGATTCATACCAAAATGTTAATGTTGCTAATCTCCAGGTTGTGAGATTATAGATAATTATTTCTTCTCTCTTTTAAATTTTTTCATCTTCTTTATTGGAAACCCATATTACTTGTGTAATTTCAAACTGCCAAGATTTAACTCAGTAAATATTTCAAGTTTATTAGTTGTAAAAATTAGAATATTTTTCTAAAAGTTGTATAATATTTGTAAATGTATTCATTTTCAAGTTAGATTGAGTCTCCTAAAGCTTTTGCTCCTAAACTTAGTTTCCAGCTCTGGTTGCACACATAAAGTAAGTGGTCAGTGTCATTAGCATTCTCCCTGGACGTAAGGCCTGATCTGCCCCAGATAAACATCCTAAAGTCTATTTTTATCCTGCTGCTGGCTATACTTAAGAATCATTCTTTGGCTTGTGATTTTGCAACAGTGGGCTTTTAAGAGATCCTCTAAATTTGGTTCCAAAGGAAAATTTGCACTAAAAGCTGAATAATTTTTGAGAAACTCAAACTAGAAAGAAAACAAGTTTTGCTTGGGTTGGTGAGAACAATAAGTGCTGTAGCTGTAAATTTTGTTTCTTTTCTTTAGGTCCATAGCATCTCTGTCTGTTGGAGAAGGCCCAAGTGTCAGAGCATCAGTCAGAACAGCAGCAGACGATACCAAACCTAAAACCACATGTGCATCTAAAGACAGTTGGCATGGGTAAGAGCTGCCTCTTGCAGATGATTTTCAACTCAATACCTTAAAATATTACTGGATTTTCTTTCCCATGTATACAGAAATGGGGATGTATGATACGGAACCCAAGACTCAATGTTTAGAGAAGACCCATTCTTCCCAGTTATGGATGTGCTGAGATTTGCTCTATGTTCTGGTACATAGTCAATTTCTATAAATGTTCTATGTTGTTTGAGAAGAATGAGTTTTTCTCTAATCGTTCTTGAGTTCCATGTAAGTCCATTAAATTAAGCTTTTAATTATTAAAAATAGACAGTGTTACTTGAATTTTTTGAATTTTTTGTCAGCTTGACCTATCAATTATTGAGAAGTATGTTGAAATCTCTATGGGACTCCACTTGTCTGGTTTCCCCTTACGCCCTATATTTTTGCTTTATGTATTCTGAGGCTATTTTGTAGGATCATACAGCCTACATTCGTGACAGTTTAGAATGTTTTCTTTGTGGTGAATTGAGACTTATCATATAGTGACATTCTTAATCCCTCATAATGGCTTTTGTCTTAAAGTCTATTTTGTCTGGAATGAATAGAGTATTACAGTTGTCTTTTAGTTAGTATTGCCTAGTGTATCTTTTTCTAGTATTTTCAGTCATTCTGTGTTTTAAAATTTTAGGTGTGTCTCACCAATATATATGACTTGTTTTATTTAATCTGATAATTTTTTAACTGCTTAAACTCATTTACATAGATTTTACTTTATGCTATTTGTTGTCCTTTTTTTTAATTTCCTTTTCTCATCTTTAAAAAAATTGTTTGAAGTGGGTTTGTTTTTCCCCCTACCATTTTCCCTTCTATTGGTTTGGAGATTGTATACTTTGTTTCTATTATTTTAGTAGTTAGCCTTTAAATTTTACCATACATGCTTATTAACAAAGACAATAGTTAGTATTTGAACCCTTTTTCTTAAAACCCATTTACTCTGATCTGACTTCCATGATCTAGTTGCCCAGTATTTTAGTTCTATCACTTTTTAGACTTACAAATTAGGTTTTATTTAACTTCATTATTATTTAAATAGACAGTGTTTGTTTAGATTTATCTCATTTACACTTTATTTGCTCTTACCATTCTTGCATCTCACACCTTCCATAGGATCACTTTTTTCTTCCTAAAGTACTTTCTTCAGAGGTTCCTTTAGTGAAGGTCTTATTGGCAAATAGGGCCTCTGTGTTATAGAACTCCATATAGAATAAATTTAATGCCTCTGGAGTTGTATAACATCATGCTCTATTGGTAAATATATTTTGTTTTGATTTATCTGAAAATGGCTTTATTTAATTCTTGTTCTTTGAAGATATACCTGAGTTGATACATACCTAAAATCATATTCTAGATTGATAGTTATTTTCTCTTAGTTCTTGTCTTCTGGCTTCCATGTTGACATTGAAAAGCCTTCTTTTCATCTAATTGTTCTTTTGGAAATAATCTGTCTAGTCTCAGGCAGCTCTTCAGCAGTTCCTGTTGGGTTTGGTATTCTATAGTTTGCTCTAGTGTATCTGTCATTTGCTTTCTATATCTATAGATTCCCTTTCATCAATTTAAAAAATTTACCAGCTGTTACCTCTTTAAAAATCATTCTCTTTCCTTTTCTTTAGTCTTTCTTTCAGAGATTCCAGATTTCTTAGTCTTATATCTCTTAACTTGTTACTTTTTTCCAGCTCTCCACATCTCTGTGCTGCCTTCTTGGTCAGGGGTCAGCAAACTTTTTTTTGGTAAAGGGCCAAATAGCAAATATTTTAGGTTTTGGCAGGCGAGAAGTGAGATCTGAGGATATTACGTAGGTACTTACATAAGTGAGAAAACTCCTGCCCTACCTGCCTGATGTGGACTATCTTGATTGGTGGACACACTTTGTGTTTTGCTGCTGAGAGTCTCAGGATGAAATGACTAGACTTGTGGGATGCCTTGGTTGGGGGCAATCCCAGGGTCAGTTTTATTTCCTGCCCTAGTGGTACTCAGATTCTAGTATGTCTTTCTCTTCCATAGAGAGCCTGGCACAGGCCAGACACTCAAACTGAGATTCTGCTTCTCAGTACCCAGTGATTGCCGACAGCAGAGCCCTAACATGTACATAGTAGCCAGCATGGACCCTAAGCAGAGGTGTGGCATGTCTGATGTCTTTTGGCTGGGAAGGCAGGCATGGGGAGTGACGGGGAGAATGGCCAAAGAGGGGGTGACACCTCACCCTGGTCTCTGTGGCTCACAGTGCTGGCCTACAGGCTGTAATTTGCTGACCCCTGTTATAAATAATTTAGAT